TTCAAAATTTTGAGATCCAAGTCCCGACCCGACTGCAACATCATCCTCGACATGACTGCCGAGTTCAAGGTCGCACAGTACCGGCGAAGCAACTAAAATTAGTCCAGCGGGCAGGTTACCTACGCGCTCGAAGAAGCACGACGCCGCGGATAAGAGTTCGTTATTTATGTAGCGGATTGATGAGGGTAAACCGCGGTGCCGCGACGAGTAGAAAACTTTACAGCGAGAGCTTCGAGGGAGAGAATATTGCGACGCAGCGTCTCTTTTCCTTTCCCTCTCGGCAGATCGAAGTTCTGCGCGGCACGATTAGGGTGGGGCAATTTTTGTTCCATGTTGCGTAATAGCTGTTCGCCCTTGCACCAAGATTATCCTGGCTGTGCAGTGAAGTCTAAACAACTCATTATGTTTAATATAGATGAGGATGCGAGGGAAACTGTCTAACTTTATACAAAGCTATTATTTATTCTGCCACACTGTAAGCTGTATATTTTGCTGAAAAAAAAAAAACTGAACTATACGATTATTATAGAGTAAAGCTGCTATAATTTACACTAAGATATTAATATCAATCGCAAGAATTATAATGTAGAATTTTTTTTATAACTTGGGACGAAGAGTAGTGGTTATATTAATCTTTATTGTATAACTCCTGTTTTTTTCGCTGACAATGCAATCGTGGAAAAGGGAATAATGGATGAAATGTGTAATCGAAGCGTTTATTTTGCTGGGTCGGAGACAACGAACATTTGCGCACTTTCTATACGTTATATCTATAACTCACTTCGTGCATCTATCGATTAGCTGCTGCAGCTGAACCTCGAATGTTCTGGAACACGATGGAAACACTAAACTGCAATGTCTGAGTTTATAACGATTTGTTGAAATATTTGATAAACTTCTTTCTTTTTTACTAAAATCTTTTCAAGGCAAACAGTTACATATTATTATTAATTGCTAATGTAAGTTATTCGAATCTTAAAAAAATATGTTTAGAACATTAATCTAGACTTAAAAAATCTAAAATAACAAAAAGCATTCAAAGAGAAGATTATAGGAGTATAAAAAATGCGCAAAATTAGACAGTATAATATATCGTTAGACATTAAAAGATTTGCCAGCAAGCACAAAATCAGGTATCTTTTATTAGACTCCTATTCTGTAACTCGACTCTAACGATATCGTTATATGGTTGTTGTGCTGCTTTTATCGTGTACAAAAACTTGGGTAACGACATATGTAACGAATCGTTATTGTCATTACAAGTTATGTGTAGAATAGGAGTCTTTGGGATCTATTTTGTAACTCTTAACGACTGTAACTGTAATATTACAGTATTATTTTGCAGCTTTTTTATCATATACAAAATCTGCTCGACGATACTATAACGCTACAGTTACAGTCGTTAAGAGTTACAGAATAGGCCCTTTAGTTTGTAATTTTTCGCTTAACAATATAACTATAATATATAATACACGTGTTATATTGTAGTTGTTGAACAGGAAATTATAATTAATCATACGTTATTACATGTATAACTTTGCTGCTATTTGCTAATATATAGAATGTATTATATACACTTGAAATTTAACATATTCTATACGCTTTGTATTTATTATTTGAATTATTTGCAGAGCTATATCACCTCCCGGGAATCACTCGCAATCAAAACGTAAAATCACATAAAAACCACAGGTTTCTTAGCCGTATCGCTCGTTCTAAATTTACTTGCGAGAAAAACGCAGTGAATAATGAATTTAAACTAAAACATTCTAAGTATATACTATACATCACATTATACATGAAATTTCTCAACTGTAAATGCATTCATTTTTAATTAATGTTTGTCTTGAAAACGACTTATAATAAAAATAATTTCTTAAGATTAGAAAAAGCATGCTCTCAATTTCCTAACTACAGTTTGGATTTCCTAACAAGTCGATTTGTTTCAGTGACCTATCAAGAACGGAAAAGAAGACACATCGGTGGGAAGGTGTACTAATTGAGAGTATGTTCGTTAGCGATGTTCGCTAACTGTATACCATTTTCGTTCCGACAAGATCGGTAAAAAGAGAAACATGTCGTTGAGAAAGTTCCCACAGATCATCACGCCGTTCTCATTTAATGCAACATAGTTGGCAACCGTCTACCTTCGCATTTCATTACACCGCTCTGAATGACACCTGAATGTAACGAGGTATCGCACAGCACATTGTGCATATTTCTATGAAGTATACAAGTAGTTTCGTTCACCCTTCCATTCGAGCCTAATCCGCTGGTCGTTGTTAACGGCCGACAAAAAGACGATCTCGCAGGGAGAGAGAGATAAGTATCTGACGCGCGCACGACCCTCATATATTTCTGAATAAAATTGCATTAATTGCGTCTACTTAAAAAGGAGCGTCCTTTGTGATACGTTCGGGCCAGGCTAACGAGCGATATGAAAAGGAAATCGATAGAGCGGTACATGATACACCGAAAGAGGAACGAACGTAATATTATGCAACCCGGTTGTAACGTCGCTATTATACGCCGTTGCCCGACGATCGTGCATCGTCGAAGCCGTTGCAATCTCTAATGCGAGCGTAAAGATTCATTTATCTTCTTATCTTTTTTTCTCTTTCATAATTACGCGTCTTCTAGGCCCGAAGATCGTCTCTGCGACCTACATTCGCCAAACATAACAAGGCGAGTGTTATATATTACTGGCGTTATGTTGCGTAATATTTGCGTCTCCGATTGTCGCCGGCGATTTCGTAATTCGTGTCTGTGTCGAAGTTGCTCATTCTCACGCTATCGGCTGTGCCATGCCGTGAATCAGCCCGGTCGCCGTGTGTTTGCAAATATAATACGCGTCGCCGGCCGGGTGCCGACCGCGCCTCAAAATCTCATAAAAATAGCTGTCGTTCGCCTTAAGAGCTGATAAAAAAAACTACGTCGGAACGGCAGCAAGGTCACTCGAAGCTGCCTGCGCAGTACGGAAATCCCACCACGAACGCTTTCTGACCGAAGAAACTACGTTTCAATGTTCGGCGTGGTATACACACACACACGCGCGCGCGCGCGCGCACACGCACACACACACACACACACATGCGCGCGCGCGCGCAGTTTCGCAATGTTGGGTCACGCCGCATGGCGTCCCTCCTTCCTTCCCTACAAATTAACGTTTACAAAATATTCTCGAAAACAATCTTCTAATCTGTTCACTGACGACAACAAGTCTCTCTCTCTCTCTCTCTCTCTCTCTCTCTCTCTCTCTTCTTTGCTAGCGATAATAGAATCCTCATTATCGTACGTTATAGAATACGAATCCTGTCACACCTAGAACACCGCCTCCGGTCAACATAAATCAATCATTCTGAACATAATTCTTTCCGGAGTAATAATTTGGACGAGGTTTGTCCCAAGATTATTCCACCCAAATTAGGTACTATTTCGTAGTAATTTTGCTACGCAGTAGGTTCCATGATCGTTTCTTTAATCTGGTCTTCCCGCAGATTTTGCCGTCAAAATAGAAAACAAATCGACGCGTACCAGCCGCACGAAGCAGCCGAGAAGGCAACGCTACATTATACAAGCGGTATTATATCACACACCGGTTGACCGTGCTAATGGTGCGGGGGTGAACAGGGGAAACGGCGGTGTTCTCCTGTGTGGGTTAGATGATATGGTGGGGTCTCTTCGGCTGAGCTGAGCGAACGTGCCAGAAATCCCGTCGTCCCTGCCGGCCGGGGACCGATCAATACTTGGCATTTGCGAATTTCTCGCTTATAACGGGAAAAAAATGCGTCGGACGACGCACCAATCGACAGATTTCGTCACGACGATACCGATTATTACGATCCCGGATGGGACCAAGTATCACTAAGACCTGAAACAATCGGTCATAAGGAATTGCGCATTATGTGACGACGCGGAGTAAGGACGCGGTGATCTCGAAGCTTCCTCCGCTTTGCGGCGACGCGGCGCGTACCTATATAAACCGGCCGGCCGGCCAGCCGCGGCGCATTCGTAAACAAACCCTGGTTCAGTTCGGACGCTGCGAACACCCGAAGACCCCCTTCACCCTTCATCATCAGTGTAACACACTTCGGCTTCTTACTTCGTCGAGACCGCCGGCACGGGAAAATGTAGGCGAGCGGGCACCACGTGCGGAGCGCGACAGTTTACCGTAGGTATTTCCCGATTTCGGGTTTTCTTTTTTATTTCGCGAAACTCCAATACGATTGTTTAATTCATTGATTTAACTAGATTTAGTATATTATATTTTATATCACGGTAATTTTTTATTACAATAAGAATGAATGTGTAGAGAGGAGAAAAATAATTCATTTTGCTATATAGACAGAGTGCAATTGAAAAGTAGTAATATCAAAGAAGATGAACGTACAAAACTGTGATATTTCTATCTTAGCTTAATGCTTTGATATTTCTTCTTTTTAATTGGCGGCCTCTAAATTTCAATTTTACACATATATAAATTATATTATTTATCATTAAACTTGGTTTCTTTCATTAAAATAATTTTAATTGAAGAAATGGAAAGGAGAAAATTATTTTACTATATTGATACAATTGGAAAATAATAATATCAAGGAAGATAAGAGCGTTCCAAACTGTGATGCTTAATGCTTTGATATTTCTTCTTTTTAATTGACAACCTTTAAATTCCAGTTATACATACATAAATTATATTATTTGTTATTAGACTTGGTTTCTTTTATTAAGATAATTGTAATTCAGGTTTGTCTGTTGGAGATCTATTAGTTACTTCTCTGTTCAAACTAATATCGGAAAGAGACAAAGAGAGAGAGAGTCAGTTAAATCGTCAGTTAAATATAAAACTAAAATTAACTCTCTTGATAAAGCCGTCAGATGATTTTGATATATTAGAAATTGAAAACAAACAAAAACTTTACGTAATTAATGTCAAACGATGTAACGAAATATATTTATATTATACATAAAAAATTATATCTTTGTAGAATAAATATTAGAAAATTATTAGATGTGGCACAATTGTGTCATACTACAAAATTGTTTTACCATTACTAGAACCGAGAAAGTAAACGAATGAAGTGAATGTCGGAATGAAAGTTTCGGACAATAATTCAGTTGGTGGTAGTGGCGGTCGTAGTAGTAGTAGTAGCAGTTGTTTCGACGGGAACCGGCTTGGCAGCTGGTATTCCCGTTTGAATAACGCTGATGACTCTTTCCGTGCCAGCCGGCGTCACGTTCTGAAAATGTAAAATAAACGTTGGTCACGTTTACTCGATAAACGAATTATGAAAGCTATGTGTTTGTGTTTTTTAGTGCACCCTACGGGGTCGGTGCTTGAACAATCCGTACACGACGATAACAGCTGTGATTAGAATTTGAAATTCCTTCACGCTTTGAACAAATATGAGAAAAGAACATCGAGATATAGGTAAGCGCATAAGGTCAATTGTGTCTAGACACAATAATATATTATACATTAAGATAATAGAATTATGTCTATGGACGATGAATTAAAAGAGTTAAAAATACGTTAAGGTCATAGTGCGAGGTATATAACGTGAATAACAAATGCTTTGAACTATTCTTAGTCGACAGTGGAAAATAAGTCTTTGCCCGGATAACATAAAATTAATGTTTACACGTATTCATAGAATCATCGCAAAAGAATTATAAGTTTACAGTCATAATTTCGATGAAACTGTTTAAAATAATTCTACGTTCTAATGTATTCACAATCATATTCATTTTGATGGTACTTGACAGCGTCTAAAATATAAGGAAGATGATATAAATAAGAAAAAAAAGAGATCAATAAATTATTTTATCAATAGTGATAAATCGATCGATATCGATCGATATTGATAAATCGATTAATTCTAAAATCAATAAATTCTAATTTATATATAATAGATTAAAACTGTATTACGTGTTTGATGAGGAACACTCGATTGTCGGTTAATTGTGTCATCGATTTTAACAGAATTCCATTTTTGAAACTCACCGAAAATGCAATTGCTTTTAAATCTGAGGACAATCTAAGGGACTAAGTATCGAGATGAGAGCATTGTTTAACGTGTCCTCATCATTTTCTCACGATAATTTGTTATTCGCTCTTGCATTGGTATCGTCGAGTTTCAGGAACTTCCTTTAAAATCGACGCACGCTGATCTGATATCACGAATGTGCTTCGTCCACGCACAAAGGCTACATTTTGAATTCTGTATGTTAACGAGACATATTCTGTTTTGTAGTTTAGAACAGACTCGTAGTGTTTGATCCAAAACCGTCACCATCTGCCTCCTCTAGTACTGCACACTGAGGCGCAGCATTGGGAACGTCGGAATTGAAAAGCAAAAGTCAAATATGTAACGTAAGCTGCACCAGTTATATCAAAGACGAGAGAGGGGAGAAAGAGCGAGAGAAGGGGATAGAGAGAGAAAGAGAGAGAGAGAGAGAGGAAAGGAGGGAGAGAGAGAGAGAGAGGAAGGCTTCGTTCGTTCGCGGTTGAATCCGCGAATGAAGGAGCGGGTCGGATGTTAACGCAGATTGTCTCGGCTCGATCGAGCGTACCTTTTTGGGCGCCGTGACAGTTAGTACACCATCCAAAGAGAGGGTCGAGGTGATGTTGACGAGGTCGTGAGACGGAGGCAGGACGTATCTGCGTACGAAGTGTCTGCTGATGTAGCCGTGCTCGTCCTGCTTCTCCTCATGCTTGGCCTCAACAACGACGTGATTGTCAATCGTCTTCACCGTGATCTCGTCCGGTGAGAATTGTTGCACGTCCAGTATCACCTGCGGATCAGAGAACGCGACCCCGCAGAGAGGCCCCGGGTACTTGTTATTTAGCTGCTCAAGATCCTTTCTCGTCCACCATCGAGGATAAAAATCTCACATTCTTCTGTGAGCCATTATAAAAAGCCGCCATGTATCCGTAAAGCGAAAGTTAAGTATCGATCACTCCTGAACGAGCTTATCACAAAACTAATGGTCGACTTTTGAAAAATTGGACTCGCCATCCTTTTTTTTTTGCATCGCGCGGATTAGCGTTTTTTTTTTATTTTGATATTTCGTTCTTTCTCTGGCTATCTGAATTTTCATTTCGAAGAGGATTTTGAACGCCGCCGTGCATACTTTCTAGCGCATATACTAAAAACGTATTCTAAAAACACCATACACGTTAGGCGCGCTATCTCACGCACAATAGTTCCGGCTTATCATCTAGAGCAAGCGCTTCGTTCGATCTCACGTTCGTCCTTTCACGCTTCCACGTTCAAGGAACCGTCGATCAGACACACGGTTGTTGGAGTTTCCGCGACGAGCGAGGAAAATGACAATTCGGCCAACGTTTTAGATCCTATTCTGGCTATCAAATAAGCGCGTCGTAAAATTAATATTTTTTTTTCCTCGTCTTGACTCTCTCTCTCATACATGTAATTTTTCGCGTTTCTTTTAGATTATTGCGCGTTATGATACAAAAACAAATCGGGAAGATGTAGTTGTCGGGCGCACCTACTTGTGTGGAGATTGTTCCTTTTTTTTGGATAAGGAAAAAAAACGAGCATACATACAAGTAGGTGAATCTTCTTTATCTGTAGTGAGTGCGCGGTCGTGCAGGGAGCAATCCCTTTGCGCGGTCTCGCAGGGGCTGGTCCCTTTGCGGCCGGCGGCTCGCTTTGGCGAGGAAGACAAACGATTACCAATACATTAAAAAAATAAACAAACAAAAAAAAACAAAAAAAAAAGATAAAGTAGGGAGAAAAAGAGAGAGAGAGAGAGAGAGAGAAAAAAATGAATAACACTTCGTCATAGAACGAGGAAGCTTTAACAACCGACGATAGTGAGGCAAACGTACCCGAGTCCCTCCGGGTGATCTTATGTGATCCTGGAGTTCGGTGAAACACGAACGCGAAGAGATTAGGATAATTGGTTGTGCATTTCGAAAATAGTACCAAAAAAAAAAAAGAATAGAAGAGAGGAGAAAGAAGTTTGCGGAGCGATCGCTCCGCGAATGGTCGACTCGAGTGCTGCGCGCAGAGCGACATATTTTGTACAAATAAAAAGATAAAGCGAAACGAGTTCCATATAAGAAAGAAATAAAGCACAAAAGTCATTTTGTACGACTCTATTGTTGTGGGTAATTCAAAAAGCATTTATTTTTGTATAATTATAAACGAGGAATCGGGACCCGCGGGTCCCGTCCGCGACGTACCCTTTTCGTTGGGGGGTGCGCTCGTCGGGACGACACGAGTTTCGGTTCTTCCATTCGAACAAGACTGACTAAGCGTGACGCGATACATCCACTCTTTCGGTTGCATATTTTATTCCGTGGCTGCTGCGCATGATTTCTCGCGTGCGACTCTGAACGAAAAATCACAAGACCTTACGAACGGAATTAGATACAGTCATCTCGAACCTGCGGCAAACCGTGAGCGCGATTGCGCGGAGGAAAAAATATTGCAGAACTAGACAGAGAGAAGGAAGAGTGAAAAATAACAAAAGAGAAAAATATATACACATTCATACATAAATGTACAATAAGATTAAATAAGGGGGAGGTAAAACGAAAACTGTGGTAAAACTGTGATTTCATAGAGATTCCGTAACTGATGTGACTAACCGGAAATTATGGAGTGTCCTTCTTTCGTAATACACATATCTCTAGATGATTTTCGGCAAACGAGAAAGAAAACTAGAAGGAATAGAATAGAATCTGCTAATAACGATAATAATAATAATAATAATAATAATACGGGATCTGCTAACCCTCGATTTGTACCAAGAATTTGAAGTGAGTAGGGCGATTGAATTACCACATGCTGTAGGAGAAGCTAGATTCATTTTGGCACAAACAAAATCATAAAAAAAAAAGAAGGACAACGCCGTGGATGTTTTTCTGACAAGCATTAAATTATTTGAATCTTTGCGGGGAAGAGAAAATTAAAAAAGAAAGTAAAAACGAAATTTCGCAAAAAAAAAAAGGAAAAGTCGTTTCCAATTTATTCGCTCTCCCTCCCCCAGAGGGGGGTGCAAAAACACGTCCCCTAGCCCCCGAAAATAGTTCCGGTCAAACACTCGTTTCACCATTCTGACCCGTTGAAAATCTAGCTGTCGCCCTCCTGGTCGACCTCGCGATCGCGCGATTATGAAAGCGTAATTATAACGCGCAAATACATAATATATGCGTGTATGACGATAGAGACAGCGACAGCTGCAGCAGATGCAGTCATCAGTTTTTCGGGCCTTCTGGTGTTCCGGATTCTTTTTCGTTCGTTGCTTTTAACCGCCCCTATCAAACGTTAAGTTTCACCCCGTCTCTTAACTCCTTTATATTTAGTTTCATCCAAAGGGATCGGCGTCAAGGGACGGGGTTTCTTTTTTTCTTTTTAACAGCCGCGCGGCTGATTCATCCCCTTCGAAAGTAACGTTCGAATCCGTTCAAATAGACAGTCTCCATTTCAACAGTCTCCTTTTCTGTTAACGTTTTTTTTCTGTCCCATTTCTTTCTTTCTTCCTTCCCTTTCCTCCCCTCTTGATCCCTCCCTCTCTCCTATTCCTACTCTTTTTATTTTCCTTCTTACGAATGCGCTCTTTCGTCCTTCCCTCTCACGTTACTCCCGCTACCTTCGATCATTTATCTCCTGCGACTTTTCTATATTTCGAAATCTAATTACGATTCGCTACTCGTTTTTTCGCTACAAGATAATGTAAAAGAAAGTATCTTCCCCTATAATATAATTATTACATATTGTACTTTTTTTCATAGGATATCATTCGAGGCACTTTGTATTCGACACAAAAATTTGTTATGTCCAATACAAACCGCGCTCGAACTACGAGTATCAAAATAAGGAAACTTGAATCGCTAAAGAATTTAAGTCGTGTCTTAGCCTAAGTTGTACCACACATAATCGAGCACATTCCGTTCGCTGTTGCATCATTGAAACTTTTTCGAGGAAATGTAATTGTAGCGCATTGAGACAGAGCGATTTCGAATTCATGAATTTAGAACTGTTAGGTTAATTATGTTACATCCGTGATAAAATGCGAATGTAACTTGATGAACCACAGACGAATTCGTGAGTTTAGGAGCTTTTAGGCAAGTTGCATATTTGTATTCAATGTAAAAAAAAATCATTATAAAAAGAAAAAAGGCTATCATTTCAGACCGTGATTAAGTTGTTGCACAGAATAAACCAGTTATATTCCACTCACGGTTGTATTACTAAACTTTCAGAGAGATAAGATAAATAATCATTTCAGTATATACCGATTGCTTCTGCAAATTTAAATTTTAGGCGTGTCGCAACACGCTCTCGCGACCAATAAATACGTATCTGCAGCTTGCATACATAAAGCAAAATTGAAACCATTACAGGCAACAGCGACTGATTGCAACAAATGTAAATTAATCGATATTACTATCGAGTTACTAAGTTATGCTAGATTCGAGGTGTAATAACTGAACGATCTTAAAGATCGGAAGGTAGCAACCTCGCGGACGTTTTATCCAGTGCGAAATCAAAAGTTGAATATCTATCGACGAAAAGTGAAATATCTAACGAACGATGAAATATCTATTATATCTATATATCTTATAATTAAAGGGACAACAATAATCTTTATTCGCGTTTAAAGAATCTTTCTGAGAGAGAGAAAGAAAGAAAAACAGGAATACTTTGTGTAAATTCTATTTAAATCGATCTGAATTCATACTCTCGGACATGACAGCAGGGCATTCGATTGATTCTTGATTCTCGACTTGTCTGCTATACGTTTTAGGATAACTGCAGCGTAAGATAATCGATATATTCCGCAGCGCGTGTTAATCCTAAGCATTAATCGCGTGCATATCATCCCGAATCGCGAGTTGTCTTGGATTTTTCTGAAATTTCTGCATCCGTGAATCCGTATTTCTTTGATCGCTCCGTGTTGAAAACGCGACGGCTACAATTTTCCCGTAATCCGAGAAAGCCAATATGTCCAACCAGCTGTAGACATTTTCGCAGCGTTACAAAGTTATACTAAAAATACGCGAAAAACCGTTTAAAAATAACACGTTACATCACACTCGCGTTCGGGACTTTCCGTGGTAATTTTAACGCGCATTGCTCCTTGTTTACGCTTTCTTGCCATACCACGAAATCAAACCAGACGAACGCACATTTGGCAGGAAAGTATTACGAATAATTTCTCTATTTTATGTTATTTTGAGATCGGAGAAGAGCTTCTTCCAAAAATTATAAGAGCACACAGTGTAAAAGCGGCTTGCAAAAATTATATATAAGCAATTTAGTATAACGACGATTCTTCTGAGGCGAAATTAGCGGTACGATTTGAATTGCAGATCAATCGAGAAGTGATAACAGTTTTATCGTCCATTTGCGTTATCGATTATTACTGTTGAGTCGATCATTACGTAAGAGAGTCGTACATTAAATCTTCCTTATAAACTTCTATTAATTCTAAATCATTTCCGGCCAATTCCTATCTTTCGCAGGATCCTGCTAACTTTATCCAGGATTCTGCGAAAGAAGGAATTGGACCGTTTACACAGCAGTACTTCCGCCCTATAATATATCTTAAGTAAGCTTTTAATACTTTCCCGATAAAAACGCATTAATGATTTTGTGAAGAAAAGTTTAACCAAAATCAGCTAACGTCTGAAACAAATTAAATACTCCAGCTAGGATACATGAGTTATATAGTTTGCAAAATAAAATTCATTTTGACAAAAAACTTCGAGTTTTACAAGTCCGTCTGATCGCAACACTTGCGCGCAACTAGATGCTAATAATTACTAAACCGATTAAACGTACGTCTTCTGAGAAAATACTCATTGACATCAAAGTGACTAAAAATAATGGCAAGTGAAGTACTGGCTAAAGCAAAACCGTTGTAAAGTTTATAACAAGACTGTTTTTCGCCACAAAAAGGTGAATCGTTTGGTGACAAAATAACAAAGATTACCTTTATAGTGTAACGTCACGTAACATAGATGAGCATGCACGATCACGAAAAGGGACGTATTTTCTTATCATCTAATCTATATAAAAGATTCCGTACAACACATTCTACCGTTCGATCTGTCGATGCAATAAATAGAATAAATTTCTAATGCTATTTAACAAAACGGGAACCAATTTATGGAAACAAACGTAGAGACACTCAAATGCATTATCGAATTCGATTCAAATATCGAAGAAAACAAAAATAGTTTGGCAATCTTCTTTAGTAAACCTGCATATTCACACACACAAATGGAAAAAATAAAATATGAAATTACTATTTCGCTTTTTTATAAGATATTTGAATATAAATTACTAACAGCATTTTAATCAAGTAAAATCATTTTTCAGTCGCAAAATCGCTTGAAAAGATGTAAAATCAGTAAATTACTTAAACATTGAAATGTTTGCAAATAAATAGAAAGTTTTCTGACCAAAAAATACTAAGTTTTCTAACATTTCAAAGCTCCATTGTAGACGATGTACAGCTACAAATTAAAAACTTTAGCCTATTTACAAAAGTCCACGTTTAGACTCAATTCAAAATTATCGCTCAAATCAAAAGATCCGCAAAGAAAAAAGAAAGATTTACAAATTCACTTTTGATTTAATCGCGCAGCGTCCCGTTTTATTATTTGATACTTTAAAGTCAATCTACAAATACTAACCTGAAAATTATCATTGTCCAACTGGATCGTACTGGTCCCGCTCGAGTTTTGACGCGTCACGTTTCCCCATGGTCGATAGTATCTATTCCCGAAGCGTACGGACGGCCGATCGAGGCCAAGTCCGGAGAGGCTCGAGATGAGATCATCTCGATGGAGGCCGATGCCAAAGTGCTGGTCCAATAGCCGTGAAACGGGACGATCGAAGTCGTCCCACCAATTGCGGAAAACAAGGGGCACAATGGACATCTATAAAGTAAGGATGGTTTTGAACGTGTATTAAAGATACCCGTGTACTCGTGTATTTCACTGTCCGTGTACCCATATACTAAAAATTACACAGATTGAACCACGGATATATTAATTATACACGTGTAACACGTATATTTAGATACATGTGAAATTGAAGTCTCTATAATAAATGACGGGAGCTTATCAGCTCATCAACAATCTTGATAGAACGTTGATACTTGTCGGCAACAAGCACAAGCTGCAGGAAAACAAAGAAAAAAAAGAACCAAAAAATCCAAAAAAAAAAAGGAGAAAAGAAAATCTTCGAGGTATGAAAAACAACATATAGATGGCTGAAAACGAGAGTGAATGAAAACTGAAGCAAGAGCGAAACAACTTTATCGTTATCGAATAGTAATCGCAACTTACATCTACATAAATTAACTCTAAGTTCTATTGTAAGCTAGACTGAATAAGGAGATACTCGTTCTCTCGTTAGTATTATTAATCGGATGATATTATCATGATTATCATTACGTTAAGCGTATAATTAATTTCTCGAATCCGAGAGATTAACGTACATGCACTTATACACGCAAGAACCCCTCGAATAACAGCTTACCACTTGACTCTACGACAAATACATTACAATTACAAAAGGCTTACCAAAATCTAAGTCATCCATTCCGGAGTGGATGAGTTTTCGCCGACAAAATACGCATTAATAAAAGGTTACAATAAGCACACATCAAATATTGCACATCTTCTTGACTCGTCAAGAGTTGCTTACACAAAGTCTAAGTGGTAAATCGTCTACCTAAATATATCGATTAATCAATAGTTTTTAGGACAACATAAAAATGCGTCAATCGAAAATCCATTAATTCACACTGTGAATTCACACCGTGCTGTAGGTTTAAAAACTCCCCTTCGTTAAAATCTAATATAAGCGAGAAGCTCTTTTTCACTCACACTTGAATTCTTCCATTCGACAGACTGGGTAAATCTGTATATAAAAAAAAATAGATCTTAACGCGGATCTTAATTTTGAATCACGTAATGTAGATGAGGCGATTTTGAACACAATTGTAATTACAACTTCCCTTGCGGGACGATAGAGAAATTTCGCGTAAGCAGATTCAAAGATTCAAATAACGTCATTTAATTCGTATAATTCCACAAGGTGGACGAACAACGCAAAGTAGCATTTGCGCGACATAGATATCGGAGAGATTACTGATAGCTCGTATATACAAATCGGTTTCACGACTCAACACTCGAAAAGATAACGAAAACACGATAATAAAGTTAAGACTAGTCGTAAGTTATAAGCAGCAGCGCGGAACCGTAAGAAGCTAGTCCGTTCGCATAAGATCAAGCAGAGAGTTTAAGTGAAAGCTCAATCTTGGGCCGACAGACCGTCGGAAATTGAGTATCGACCAACTTAGGCGATGGAACAACGATAGCGCAGGATCAATCAGATAGCGCAGGGACTAGTTTAGAATCACACGCCCACCGCAACTGTAAAGCCTTGTACCTCATACGCGTTCGAAACGCGCGATTTACCAAATGCAATACGACTATTAAAGATCCGGATATCGCAAATGACTCGCGGTTAAATTCCTTACTCTTCCCTTCTTCCAGAATTAAGGGCACGCGTTTTCAATGACCGCTCTTGTCGTTGGATAGGTGGGTGCGAGGACATAAGGACCGTTAACTTAAGATTATCTCAAATCAATCTTGCTCGAATATATAGAATCGCACAAAATATTTCGTACTAATAAGCATACATTTGGGTCTAGATCCAAAAAACGATGCTTGATAAGGCAAATAATTACTATTAAGTAATCTTAAGATTATCGATACATTACAATCTCCTTATAGCTAAAAACTTGTACTGAAAGCCCATTTAAGGTAAGATATTAATAAGCTATAAATGAGGACGCAAAGATTCCACTCCCGACCGGAGAAATCCCGGAGTTCACACAAAAAATTCACAACGCGGGAATAGCGTACTTTATGTGGAACGTGGACTTCGATTAATTACTCGTAGATCACCAGACGATTCCGGTATCATCCGAGTCGACTTCTGATTCGGCGCGAATCGCGGGTTCATCTTAAATAGCCGCGATGAGGAGGAGGTGCTCTCCTACAATGTCACGTGACGTTTCACTGACTATCCTCTCCAAGAATACATCGACTTTGAATACAGGGATTTTTGGAAATCGACTCCGCCGTTCTTCCTCGCGACGGCATTTCGAACATTCTTGCTACTTTGTGAAACTATGATCTATACGATCGGAATTCTCATCGGTTCGTCATCCCTCGATTGCCGCGAGACGTAGCGCCTTACGAACCGAATTTGGGGCTGACAACGGACGGTGTAAAAAAAAACAAAACAGATTTGATACGATCGAATTTCTCTGTGGAAACGACGCCGTCTGACTATTCAAGTAAATCGTCGATTTATCATCGAGCCTGTCTTTGTATGACGTTTGAACGCTGTCTCCGTCGAAATCGTGGAGTGGCGTAATAGTAGGCTATCTAATGCACTTTGCTTATCAGCCTGTTACTTTAGACAATCGTATTTAAAGACGGAAATTCTAAAAGTGTATCGAAACGCATAATTTCGTTATAAATAATCCTCTGTATTATAACTATTTAAAAAACTTAAAATCATCCAGTCATTGTATCACATCAAAAGGGGCTTCAATCAAGAGTTTCTCTAAAGCTTTTCTCGCTCCGGCCGTACTTCGCTGAGCAAACCACTAGAAATAGAGAAATCGACCGAAATAGAAACCGCGTCTTCGATTAGTCGTGATGAAAATTGAATGTCGGTATATTCAGAAATCGCTACAAATATCGAAGACACACTTTACTTGTCGCGAGTTAAAAATCATATTTACAAGCTTAAAGTAAATCACTTTGACCCCACGGAGGAATATTAAATCTATAAGAGTTACCAAATGTTTTTAGAAAACACGGAGAGTGCTAAGAGCGCATTTTTAATACGGGCTACGCCTACACGCGTATTATTTTAGGATATTGGATTATACGTGTTTTTCTTAGAATAAGTTTCCTTCGATTTGCTTCTTTCTCGTTTAATATGCATAAGGAATTAAGCTATGATTAACACCGGTGTTAGCTTTGCGCGACATAGATTTTCATCGAGCCGTTATGGCACTCTTGAGTTTCTTTTTGGGATTTAATAATTTCGACCGCGATGATCGCGTGAGCATGATATTTATTTGCACGAAAGATAGGTTATAGTTTAATCAGTTTTTGCGTCGTTAGCTTCGCGCGAAGATAATTTTAGCAGCAATGCACTACAATCGATGAAGGCGATTCACCGGATTATATAATTTGAATTGTAATGGCTTACCCTTATTGGGGAAAGGTATGTCACTGAAAAGGTAATAAGCGACAGCATAAAACAATAATGAAAAATGACGTGCACGTCACCAAAAAAAAAAGAGAAAGCTTAGATATATATGTGTACTATTATAATAATGCTAAGAATAATATTTAAGGAAAGGCTGTATGCCAATAAAAATATAAGTGTCATATTAACAATGAACTACGCTAATTCTTTATCGTTGGAATTCCGTTTACTAACGACACAAGTGCTGCTAATAAAACAATCTCGAAATAGATCCCAGATTCATATTTTGTCTAAAAATACTGATTACAACAATGAATACATTGAGAAATAATCTTATTATTATTTCTGTGAAATGAATAAATTTTTTATTTCACGTAATCAAAAAAAGAAGATTTATCTGTGATGTTTAAACTGGACGATAATCATTGTCGAAATATCTCAGCGACCAAAAGCAAAAAGTATAGTTTTTTTTTAGAAATTAAAAAAAAATGATTATCGATGGCAAATTTTCACTGGAAGCGAATTTCTTTTATTTGATTAAAAGACATATCTTGAAAGGAAAAGACTTAAGCAAATTCTTAATTCTAGCAATGCACTTGTGGGTACGTTCAAAAAGCAACGTTTAGCATTAAGCATAATTCCTAGATGACCTTTCGATGAATCATACTATGTGGCATTATAATAATAATGATAAGCTATCTAAGATAATTAAGTTATTTTATGTCCGCCAACTGTGTGTCGGCACTGTTGGCGGGCATCTTCGGTATTATGGGCCCGCTACTAATTGATAAGGAGCAGGAGGCTTACCTTATAAAAGAATCTTATCGTTATCTTCATCTTTACTCCAAAATATTATTGTGAAGTATTCCGTGTGTTTACGTGTCATACTTCGAATAAATTCTAAAAATGATTCAATACTCTCTGATTGTCTTTCGAGGTAAAAAAGATCAATGTCTCGTTGATACTGGATAAAACGGCCATGATCATCCGTGCGTCCCGTAGACGTATTATAGTGTAATGCATATATACTGTAAGCATATGTCAGCATACGTAAGAATCTTTACAATGAATGTAACTTACATTAGTAACCATCCGTTAGGCTGATACTTGTAACTCGATGGATTATTGATGTTATTATTCTCATCCCTTTTGGTTTATATACATTTATATGCATAAATGTAATTGTCTAATTCTTAGATGCAACAACATTATATCAGGACAGTTTCAAATTGAAAAATCGAATGTGTGTTTTCTGTATTAACAAAAAAACAAAAAATTTGTAATTTGCATAACTGAAATTGTATACGCTCTGTTGATAAAAACTGTGTAAAATTTTATCTGGATACGGCTTACATTTTATATCTGATTTTATTTACCTTTTATAATTCTGTATTTTATAATTTATAATTCTGTATTTTTTTTTATGCAGCGCATAGAAATAGGCCCTATGCCATTTCTTGGCTGAAAGAAACAATAAAGTGAAATCTGACCTACATTGTGCGTTTTTTTTCGATTTAAGTTATACCAATTCTCCTCTCTATTCCAAATATTAGTTATATTGTTGAAACTTAATGGCAAAATTAGGCAAGGAATTCATTTCTGGCTATAAAAAATAAGAAACAATTTCAAATGCAATATTCTTATTTATTTGTCGGTCTCACGTACAAATTTAATGATCAGCATGTGCGAACGCAGCGAAGACTTCGTTCGAAATAACATTCTTCGGAGCTGCATACACAAAGGTATTTCTTTCATTAGACTACAAGTATCTTATTAATGAGTTACACACATGTTTAAAATAATAATACGACAAATGTCATTGAGAGGAATGGAGTTATATATAAATAATGAAAATGCTAGTGGCACGCGAAACGGCAAATTATATGTATTTTCTTAAAAACGACTCGAGAAGACGCGACATCATTGCTCTATCCTTAAATACATAAATACTATACATTTCTTTGCGATAATCGCAGCATAAATATTACATAACGAGGCATGGAACGAGATGCAAAACGAGACACGCTTATCAAGATAATCGCAATATTTGCATCTCGGGATGTTGTTGTAGTTTCTCGACGTCTTGTAAAGTGGATATACCTTGTTCCTGTAAAATATAATTTAAAACGAAACATATCAAACTTAAAACTTAAACATCCGGATTATGATATCTAAATATCTGATGTTCTGTCTATCTCTAAATTTTGGAATAATATTACTATGAAATTAATGAATATTATTATGTAACTATATAGTGATTTCGCGTTAATTATCTCGAAGTAATTAAATTGCGGATTTAATTAAAAAACTTACAATATATTCTTTCCATTTCTCGTAATTGTGTCGCATATAACCCACTATTTCTGGCATATCGATAAACACTACGAAAATAACAAATGGCAAAAATAACAATTTGAATATTAATATTTAATGAGCAGTCTAAAGTAATGAAGAGAACGAACCATCCCAAGCCTCAATCATATCGTTAATGATATAATCGACGAAACCGATTTGCGATTTCGGTATTGAACACGTCATTCTATCGAACATTGGCATTACGACTGGCAGTTTCAATTTTTTTTCCTCATCGGTCTGAAAATTATCAATAAATATTTGAACGTGACAGTAGTGAATTATCTTCCCCATATGAATTTTTTTAGTTACTAATTATCAAAATCACCTGATTAAAATATTCCTCCGCGATTCGTCTCGCCCATTCGACGCAACGTTTCAATGGCCGCGTTGGATTAGATACGTCCGCGCATTTGATCATCATTCTTTTAACTAGTATTACATTATCTGGCTGTAATACCACAGTCATGTCCAGAGAATTTGAATATGTCTGTGAAAGATTTTTTAAATTTAAATTTTTATTCATTATTTATTCTGAACACGTATTAGAATAATTTATAGTAAAATATCCAATAAATTTATATAAAATTATAATCTCATCTACATTAAATAAATATATGTTAAATATTTCTAAAATAATTTTTTTAATATTGCAAAACTGATTTTTAATCATTTATGTTTGGGGATGACAAGAATATAAAGAATCATATTGTTGAAGAGTGTAATTAGATTTTTTTATATTATTGATAATCCATATAACTATCAATTAAGAAAGTAATAATGAGAATGATACATTTCAAACTTTAATCTATAGTAGAAAATTAATAATGATAATTAATTAGATACTTCAATTAAAAATATAAAATAAAATTACTAACAATTTAAACGTGAAAATAATATATGGTACCTCTTCATCGCCAATTCTTGCGCTGCAAACATTCATGAACTTCGCCAGGTGCTCGAAGTGCTTCGTCATTTCGGTCGCCAGAATCATGTCAATGACATTTTGTCGTAACAGTTTATATGCATCTCGGTCCATATTCTAAAGACATTCAATCAAGTGTTACAACTTCAGCATAGTCTACACGTTCACCGTTCACCTTTAGATTAGCGATTTAACGAACAAAAAAACTTACTTTAAAGATATTCACACTATCGTCGGACAATGATAGTTTAAATGTTAAGGCTGCATGATGCGATTCGAGAACCGATAAATCATTGTAGAGTATTGCCAAACGACTGTTGGCATTGCAAAGAAATTGACTGGAAATGAATTTAAATTCAATACCAGATTATCAACATATGTCAAGAGAGAGAGAGAGAAGTTTAGATATTTTTGCATGATAAGTATTAATTAAATTTTTATTAAATAATTTACTTCAAAAATAATTAGAAAATTCTGTCAAGTTTTCTTTCTAATATTTTGTGATTCAAATAAAAATCTATAAATATGTAACTTAAGCATGTCATTAAAAAGCTACATTTTTGTTAATATATCTTATCTTATTTTTCAATATTGAAAGTAAACCATCTCACCTAGATCGTCCAGGATGATCAATGTCGTGCGCAGCGGCGGCTACTAGAGCAGCAACCTCGTCTAAAGGTTCTAAAATTTCTTTGAGTCTTTTTGATTGCATAAATCTCGCAGTGGCTTGCAAGACATCGGCAGCGTGCGTGGAGTTGTGATAGCTATTCTCTGCGTTGTAATTGTGTTCAATAATGGCTAGCCAGTTCTGTAACGTTCTCTCATCGCAATGTAATGTAGCGGGCGCATGATATAAATTCATGATTGTCAATCCCAAAAAAACAAGCGGTCTGTAATAAATCAAAACGCAAACAATTTAGATAATAAACATAATGAGCCATTATACGAAAAAAATGCAGGACATCTGTTTTAAATTAATAATTATAAAACTGTTACAAAACATATCGCGCAAAATGATGTTGATAATTCACATGACTCACCTTCCTTCCGTCAGTACTTCAAGCTTAAATATCTCGAAGTCCCAGTCAAGACTGTTGTCCAGTATCTCCGTAATTTCTTGCGGCCCCCGGAAATTTTTTACTTGCATGCGTAAATTGGCCGGACTGGTGATAGCCTTGATAGTGGATAGTCTCGCAGAATCCGACGATGACCTTCTGGATTCCCATGCTGTGCGCGGAGACTGTTAATCAAATAACGACAAAATATATCATTAAAGAGAAAAAAATCTCATCAAATCTTCATAAATGGATGATTTATATTTATTGCAAGTTTGTTATTTTCTTCATTTGAAACGAAGAACGCTAAAATTCTTACGGCAAGTAATGCGCCAACGAGATCCGTAGCAACTGGATCGCTACACATTGCTCTATCTTCCTTAAGATGCGGTACGTAGAGTTCCGTCGTCTTTAGGATATCGATTGCCTGTGAAAGACGTAGAAGAGCAAACAACGTATATCTATTTAATTGGACAGACATGATTATAGGACTACAAGCATCTCGATTAATCACGTACTTTCTCGATCTGCGCTGCTGTTTCCGGATTAGTTGTATCCGTGACTGCATTCGAAAGTAACGTAATGACTTTAGTGATAGGAGCTTCCAGTTGTAAGGTATGCAATTTTTGCAAGCTGGACCGTCTACGGCCTATTACAAAAATACAATTTTTCTCATACTAAATCTTATATTAAATTTTACATTAAATTAGATTAAGATTACAATAATAAGAGTAACAGAGAGTTTTTAAAAGTAACTATATAATTTAATGTTATAAAAATTTAGAAATTAACATACACTATGTAAATACAACGAAATACTATATACATAATTTCAATCTTCAAAATATATAAGTAATTAATTAATTAGAACAATAGATATATAAAGCCTTCGTATTAACCAGGCAGGTGTGTCCCAGTTTTGTGCTATTAAATTTCTTGACATGTTTACAACGACAATATGTAGGGTTGATATTGGCGCGATAACTCTTTAACATAAAAATACGTGCCGCAAAGTGGGTCATAAAATTGCCGGTGACCTAATTCGCGCCTTTCAATGTGTTTATTTTTATACCAAAGCATAAGCTAAGAAGACGAAATTTTCTTTATTGATGACTTTTTTTAATTATATGTATACAGTTTGTTAATATTAGCAATAATATTTATCTGATATTGTAGAAATACCTTTATCTTCACTTATAGAACCAGATCTGACATCTGAGGATTTCCGCGTGTTCGTCATATTCGTTTTAAGAGGAGGATGCAACGGGCTGCTAATTGGGCTTATTGGCGCTGAATTTTCCGATAAATACGTAGTATCGTATACATATATATAATGACTTGGTTTTCTAAAGATAGATATAATCATTGATAAAGTTATAAAAGGACAGCTATTATAAAATATAATAATAAACAGGGCATATTTTAATAATAATGGTACGTGTAATAAAAAAGGTTGCTTGTTTTTTTTTTTTAATAATTAGAAAATGTTGAACGTACAAAAAATTTCATCAGAGTAAAATTCTATAAAAAATATATTAAACTTTTTAGAAATTACTACATCAAGGAAACATACTTTAATGTGATACAGAACGGAATTATCCTGCAATTGATCGTAATCATTTGATTGTTTTTTCTTTTGCAATTCATATTTCCTTCGAATTCTCGGCCTTTACTCAGTTGTTGTTCCATGAGAGAAAAATTTTCGTAGTATACTATTTCCGAGAGGTTTCTTCCCATCATCTCTTCTACCTTATATCCTAACAATTTTTCGCTGACTTTATTTAGAAACTAAAAACAATGTAAAATTACGATCTATGTATAAATTAAAAAATAACACACAATAATGCATATTTATGTGTGCAAAATTTATAATTTTTCTCATTTTAGTGGAAATGTTGAAAATGACTATATAAGATGTAAAGATTGAATACACAAATACATTATTCGCGATACCTGTACAATGTTTTTATCATTAGTCACATGCACCATATCGCGGCATCTGTCGAGTGCCAAATATAATGCATGCGCTGCTGCTAGTTGAGTTCTCGGCAATATTGAGCTAGTATATATCTCTACTAATTCGTTTATTAATATACCTTCGTGAGAACATTCCATCAGTGTCTGAAATAGAAGCGAAAATAAGAATAAATAAAGAATCCAATAGAAAATCTGTCTATGTACTAAGCCTCGTTTATGTACTTCTAAAGCTGCATTCTTATATTTGAATAAGCACTCACTCTAGTAAAACCTGTTTCTAGCAAGTTTAATGCAACTATATGGTCTTTTTCATCAAGCATGAAGTACCTAGAAGACATGTGACATTCAAATGTTAAAATAGAAGTAAAAGTAAATTAAATTTTTTAAATTGACAGACTTACGATTTCTTTACGAGCGCGATAATGACAGAACTGTGATAAACCGGACTTGACCTAATTGCTCTGAAATTTAATATTTTTAACATTTCAAATAGAGTATAAAAGAATGTATAAAAAGAATGTGCACGTCTGTAGATAATTTATCACATTGTGAAAATTATATATAATAGAAAATTTTTTAAATAAATTTACATTTTGAACAAAAATCTTTTTTTACAGATGGGTTCATTTTATTTAAACGACCTGCCATACCTACAAATAGCATCACCCTCGTCAGCGTGATGTGCTCTATGATCGATAATCACTAATTCGTGAGCACGATTTTGGAAAAGTTCTAATGCTTTTTCCGCATCTTTTGCCACCGATACACTCCATCCCAATCTTCTCGCGGTATTAGCAAGTAAGTCCATTTGTTGGTCATCGTTGCTAAAGACTAATAAAATCTGTGCACAATGAAGAAGTTTGACAGAAGTATTGAAAATAGAACTGAATTAGTGATGCCAAAAATGTTTCCAAAAAATTGCATGTTTTTTGTCACAAATTTCATCACAAATTGAACGTTGCGATACTTACTCTTATAATATTAGGAACGTCAGTTGTCAATAAATAATTACTAAAATCTTGAGGTCCTTTCTGTAAACAGAAGAAAAAAGTAGTTCAAGAAGCTGAATAAAATAAATTTGTGATTAGAGAGATTTATTAGTGCTTTTTTTCCATAATTGATGCATGTTTGCCATGAGTAATGCTTTTATTTGACCAAATCTAATCAGAGACTTAATATTAATGCATCGATATCAGTGCTGGTTACATACCAGCTCCTCTTTATCTAGATATATCGATTCAAGTAGTTTGTAAATCGCTCGACGACGCGCACGTGGAGACACTTCCACATATTTTACGGTTTTATGATACGGAATTTGGTCTTTCATTTGCGACAAATTAATAGCTGGATCGTATTATTCTCTAACCTATGTATGTCAAAGATTTGACAATAACAACGAAATTAGCAATTTTATATACATATATTTCAAATTAATCAAGATCGATCTTAAAAAATAATTACCGGATTACCACTGCAAATTATTACAAACTCTTGGCTGTTTTATAAGCTATGTGTACATACATATGTACATTTATTACATATTAAAGATACATTGGAGAATATTTTGCGACTTAAGAGAAAGTAAATTTATAACTTTTCAGTACCTTTCAGAAAAATGAAATTATAAATGCATAAAAATTATACCAAAAATGATTGATAATAATTTCGTATTCTAATATATGCTACCAGTTCGAGTCACTTGCATCTTATTTTTAATGCATCCATCTCTTTTATATATATCCGTACACTATACTGAAAATTCTACTACATCATGTCTACGATTCTCTTCTTCGTAAAATTATTGTCATTGCACTGTGGTCTTGCCACACAGACATAAACCATCAGACAAACGTCTATTTTTCAATATCTTATTAGCTGAGAATCGTAAAATAGCAGTTGTATGAAAATAGATTGTGCGGCAATTGGATATTAATTATTCTGAATTATATTTTTCTTTACATTTTTCAAAATTAATATTTTAATTTAAAAGTATATTTTAATTATAATTTTTTAGCTGTTTTATAAAAGTACTTCATATTTTAATTCTAATATCTCTCTCAAGTCACTACGAGAATTGCAGGTACGATGACGTTTAAAGAGAGGATCATTGTGACACTGATAATCAATCAATGGCCAGTGAGATCGATATATTCACTCATCAGAAACAGAAATTTGCGATAAGGCATCCATATCAAAGTCTGTAATGATAGTATATTTTGTGAAAAAGCAGGATAAAACTTTTTACTCTACAAAAAACATTCATAATAAATAAGCGATATCGCTACAATTTTATCATGCCCTTTAAATA